GACCCTCCTTGCCTTGAATGTGGTGCAGTCATTAACTCCAGTGCACACTCAATGCAAAGTGGATGTAAATGTTGTCATTCTGATTTAGCAACATTTTACACTCACTTTGCACTGGTGTAAAATTAACAAAGGTGCAAGGCAAGAGAGAATCAGGCCTTTAGTATACCAAACTGCCCATGTAGGACAATTGAATATAGCTGGTGTCTCGGGCAAACGAGCCTCTTCTTCATGTAACGTATCAAAGTGACATGGAGGGGGAAAGCTCACGATTAGGTGTGTACAGGTGTATTAGGGGAATGGGGGAATTCATAATAAAATGTTAGGATATATTGAATCAAAGTAGCTTACACTGACCGCTCCAGTGCATTCTCCCGAAGTTCTTAGATAATAGATCTACCACACAAATGCATACTATAAGGCTTTCAGCTACCGGGCTGGCTGTACCATGAGCAGCAGACAACTGGCCAGCCTCAGTGGTCAAAACTGTGCGTCAGCTCCTGAGAGCTTTACACACAGCCGGCTAAAAAGGGAAGCTGGCAAGGGTCACGCAATCATAGCTGTTTTTCCATTAAAAATGGTTATGTACATAGAGCTTGATTCATTATGCACAGAAACACTTTAAACACTCAAAAGGGCAGCTGAGGGAAACTGATGCTAATTAACATACTGGACAGATTCCCTCTGCATCCATTCTCTATGTAGAGCACCACCGCTTGACTTTTGCAGCTGCCCCTGCAGAGAAAGAGAAAAATAGAGGCTTCCCCCATATGGAAGGGAAAAATGTTCCAAAAAGGATGTTTTGGGGGAGGGGAGAGGTAGTTGGAGTTCAAGAAAGTTTGAAGCAAAAGAGAAAGACAGAACACAGGGAATAAAGAAATGAGGAAAGACAGCAAAACAGAGGAGAGAGAAATAAAGAAGAAATAAATCTATCTGGTTTCTTACATTGGTGGCTTTCACCATAGTATTTGACAGAGAAAGGATGAAATATAGACAAACACAGATGGAGAAGACAGACCAAAAAAAAAAAAAACAAGGAGAAAACAGAGGACAGAAAGAGTGAAGGTCCCAAGACAGGATATCGGACTGTGTATTTGGGCAGCCCATCAGCCTACTATATCATAAGACATTATGGTCACCTGTGCTTACTAGTTGTTCTAGACCTTTTGGGATGCAGCAAAAAAACTAAATTTATAAACCAATTTTGTAGGCAGTTTCCCACCACCAACATTTTCTGTCCCTTAAAGCACCTGGTACTTGGCCAATATTTACCCTCATCTTTACCAAAAATCCTGGAGTCTTCCTCACAGTTCTATTTTCCTGCAACTCCTCTGCTCTAGAGATGGCCAGATCAGAAATAGCAGAGACTGGCCAACTGCACTAATTTATTTTGTGGTTTTGTCACATGAAAGATCAATGCTAAGCGAAACTGGGATTCAGTGCATTTCCACTTGAGAGAAGGAAGAAATTAACTAGTTTCCATAAATACAAGATTACCAAACCCTCGCCCCCTTTAAAGCAAAACACAACCACAGGCAAATTCACATTGTCAAGGTAGACCATCAGGACTCTGTATCAACCTGCATCCTATAAGTTCTCTAGTATGGGACCATTTACCCTATTGATTATGACACAGAGGTACCATGGACTGTCATATTAATGATTTGCATATAATAGCCTGTACTTACAGTGGATATTGACACAACACTCAAGAAAAAAAAGTCAATGATGCTTAATGAGCTGGCTAATAAGGGATGCCCAACAAGAGGCACCATGAACAGTATCCTCTCTTACAGGCTTCAGAAACCTCTATATGGAATCAGTTCTGCCCTAAATACAGATCGGTTGCCAGTGGCAGCAAACTGTTTAGTGACTGAAGGACTGGGAGAGAGAATTTCTAGCTAGTTTAGGGAGGCAAAACATATAAAAGCCAGCAGTGACTCCACAAAACTCTCTCCAACAAATGGTCCGCATAGGACTTCCATCCCAAGTTCCAACCCATCATCACTTCTAGTCAGCAGGGATTCACATTCCAGGTGTACCGCACTGTATTGCGAGACTTTAATAATTCATCTTCATTCTGCTATTGTCCTTCACACAACACTATCAATTATTTAATTTCAGGTACACAAGCTTTCTCCTGCAAGTGAATCAGTCAAGTGGCTGAGTGTGTGTGTTGGGTCATGATTCTTCACATGTTGTTAGGGGCTACATTCAAAGGGTCAGATCCTCAGCCAGGGAAAAAATCAGCATCGCTCCACTGACTTCAGTGGAGCTAAATCAATTTACGCCACTTGATAATCTGGATCAGCGTAGGGTACAAATTAAAGTGACCTGTAATTTTGTTAATGTGGACAAAATATATTTGTATTGAATTCTCAAAGCAGGAAAGGATTAAAGGGGCAAGCCATACAAAAATTATTTTAAAATGTATCCTCCTCCCCAGAAGTCCAGATATGTGAGTTGTGGCTCTATCATAATGCCTCTGAGTGTAAACTAGGGAGCCAGGACATTCTGGGCAACCTGGTGGCAAGTGGGGTGGAAAGGTAATTTTAAAATAATGTATTTGTTGAATGCGCCCTTAGTTCTTTACCTCTGTAGCATAAAACAAATGGAAAAATACATTAATGTTATCCATTAATTAAAATTACATATACATTAATTAAAATTAATTAATTAATTGTAGGCGCTTTGCAGCACAGATTGTGTCTTACTAAGTGTTTACCCCATAGGGATTCTGGATTCTGACTGGGGTCTCTAGGCACTATTACACCAGAAATATATAGAATACCAAAAAAAGAGAGACATTTACAGATCATCTTCAAACAATAAGACACTCTAGTAATCCAGGCAGAGTATTTTGGGGCAATTATAGCTGGACATAAATGGTATTAGAAGGCACAAGATCAAAGGCAAAGACTGGTCACCTGACCTGACAATACTTCCCCCGCCCCCCCTTATGGTCATATACCCTGGAGTCTATTTTTGCTATTAAGACATGGAATTTGCAAATAAATATAAACATAGTTGTGGACTATACAATTAATGAGCACTGCTGACATGATTTACATATTGCTGACAGCCAAACATAAGTCTCCATTAGTGTCCTGTTTTCTGGGGCCATTTCATAATTATGAAATATTGCTTGCACACAAGTTGCCAAAAGGACTTAGATGGCATATGATCTGATGTAGGAACTGTCTGCTGGAAGAGTCTGGTTGGCCCTTGCTGGTCTAAGTACTACCAAAAAGCCTTACCTGTGTCTCAAGCTTTTGGGCACTATTTCAAAACCAGCCTAACTCCCATTGACTTTGGATGGCACTCAGGTGACTAGGTCACCGAGTCTCTTCGAAAATTTTATCCTTTATTTAAAAAGCATAAATTGCTAATTATTTTTCCTTTTATTTTAAAACCCAGAGAATATTTTGCAATTAAAGCAAGAATCACAACATAATGCTTCTAAAAGCAGCTGCTTTTTATAGTAGACTTTTTTAAAAAGCCATTCTGCCTTAGAAGATTGCAATTAAAAGGTACTGCAGAAGTCATCATCTGTTCAGTTTGGGGAAAAAGAAAAAAAACCACTTCAAACAATTGTATTCAAGAAAAAAACTCCTTTCAAAAGTAAACCACTGCCTGGCTCTCTAATTATTCAGATTTTCAGCTTTGGAGTTTCATGTGCCTGAAAATAAACATTACTACATTACCTCATTTGCATTATTCTTAAAACCAATGATACAGCATGTAATAACATCAGAAAAAACTATGGCTAGGCAGTATCAGTATCCTAATAAGGAGGAAAAGCCATTAAACAAGTTTCTAAATGCTATTAGAGACTGGGACATTTAGAAAATGACACACTTAAGTATTTAAGAGAGGACGTTGAGATGCATCTTGCTATACCCTCTTACTGACTGACTGCCATTCAAAGGATGTCAGACTCTGGCCCTAGGTCAGAGTGTGGTTCAGCCTTAAAGGAGCTGCTTGGCTTGCAGAAGAGGTCCATTGGGAGTGCACTGACCACCTCACTTAGTGCTGGATATAAAACTGTTCCATCATTCCACCACCCCTGCTTTCTCCATGTATCATTAGGCTTGGAAGGATTAGATTTTTAATTGTTAAATTTCTGTAAAGGTTGATTTCACCATACACAGACACAAACCATTGAAAAAATATTTCAGCTGGTAATAATCAAAATTTACAGACAGGCTAAGTAAGAAAAATGCTGCTTGAGACATTATTAGCCTTTGATTTAAGGATATTTTGTACATGTGACGTTGACAATTTGTGTTTTAATGGTTCAACTACTTGAATCTCAACATCTACTGGTCATTACATAATTATTGTCTGACCCCTGCCCCCATAATTTCCCCAAATTGTGAAAATTTAAGTAGATACATTTTTAAATGCTTACAAATAAAACTGATACTACTTTTTGAAATTATAAAAAATAAAAATAGAATTCTGCCAAGCCTATATATAATCTTGGGCACAAGGCAGGGCAAAAATTGGCAGTTAATATTTAGATTGTTTATATATGGCAGCTCTGCTCCAAACTATGCACCTGTGCTCACCACCAGGTTTTAGAGGTAAAAGGATCTGTGCCTCCCCTCTCAAACCAACATCACAACCCCATCTTCTACCTCTGGAAGAGGAAGGGGAGGATAAGAAACACAAGGAAGCACTCCATTCCACCAGATAAGATGGCGGGGGGACAAAGCCCTCTCTCTAATGCCTGGCATTCTCTAAAAATACCGATTCTTCTCAGCTGTGAAGTGATATCAGTCCTTTCTTCTTCTCAAGCAGCAGAAATGTACTCGTTTAATCCGTCCTGGCCCCCCACCCTGTTTTTTCCTCACTCAACAATTATACTAGGGTTTTTTTTAAAATAAAAACGTTTAAAGAAAGTAAAGTGATTCTTGTCATTAAAATATACAAAGATATAAAACAACCTGTTGAGGAAAAAAAGAGAAAAAAAATCAGAACCACTTGTGGTTGTATAGTACCTAAGAATAGCCCACATGGCTTTGTTTGAGACAGAAAGGCTGCTGCTCCGTTGCTCTTCAGGTGATGCAGGGTGGCATGAGTTCCAGGTCCCTTTGTGAGCAAACCGGTGCTTCCCATTCTCCCTGCTGGACGGAGGAATCTGCAGCGAAGCAGATGGAGAAGCCGCAGGCTGCCGTGCGAACCTCTGATGCACCCCTCCATTTCTCCTAATTACTCATTGAATTGAGAAGCACAAGGGGGGGGGGTAGGAGGGGGGAAGAGGCCTTTTAAGATATGGTTCTTTTGTTTCATGTTTACTTCATTAAAAAAAGGAGTATTGGAAAGTTATCCCGAACTGCTATCTTAACACAATAAATGACATTTCCTTCAGTTCTCCATGCAAAGATCTGACATTTACTTCACCGCTACTGGGCATGATGGAGGGCAGAATAAATGGATTCTTAGCTATTGTACCAACTACAGTATTAAAAATATGTAAAAGAACCTCACAGTATATTATTAGTCTAATCTTTCTTACAGACCTCAAGAGGGCTTACAGTGGTGAGAATGATGGGGAGTCAGGAGGGAGGAATTGCATAGTATATTTCATTAGACAATTATCCTTTGTGGCAGCTCACTTGTTAAAAAAAAAGAAAGAAGGTCTGGTTCAAACAAACAGGGGGTGCGGGAAGGAGTCTCAGAAGCACTTGGCTGCAGGTTCTCTCCTACCCCTTAAAGTCAAGCAAACACAAAGACAAAATTCTGAGCACCATAAACAGCCACACTAGTGCACAATAAATTAGAACGACTATTGAAATGCAACACATCTGGGCCACAGAGCCTCTCATTACCGTAAGGTCTCTGGCCCAGGCATGACCATTACTTAATGTCACTGAAGCAAGGAAACAGAATGTTCAGAGACTGCTGGAACATGAACCCAAGGAAAAGAGGGATATAAAATAAGTGCATGGGTGTTCCCCTGAATAATTAAAGATTTCTGCTATCCTTAGCCACAGAGTTCCTGCAACTCCACACAATCCATTGTAAATGTACGCATTACAAGCATTCTGACGGCCAACCCCAAAGAAGTCCATAGCTTGCCACTGGCAGACCATTTGTGAAGTTATGTATTAGAATCAAGACAGAAGAAATACTCTAGTGATGTATCATAGCTTACCACTGATTAGTACTACTTGTGGGGGGAGGGATTTTTTCATAGGACCATATCTAAGTCCCGTTAAAGTCAATGGAAAGAGATAAAATATGAGAGAGGGGACAAGGATGTAGAAAGTGTAAAAACACTGAATGTTTGGGGGAGAGATGGATGTAACAGGCTCTACATGTTGTTAGTGCCTATCAAAAAGAGAAAAACTTAACACTATAAGTAAGGAGCCATATAGCTACCGGCAGAACTAAGACTGTGATAAATCCCCTTGAATGGATTTGATTTTTCTGAACTAAGTGTTGATAACTGCTGAATTCTTGAGCCACCCAAAAATAGATGAAAAAAATATTTCCATATTTAACAAATTTAGATTTACAGAGGGGAAAAAAGAAAAAAAACATTTAAAGATATTGCTTGAGGGCTCAGAAGAGTTCCGATGTAAGCATCATTCATGTTACAAATAAAATATTAAGAAATGAATGAACAAATCTGATTTTATTACTAAATCTGATATAAAACAACTTCACATGTCATCACATTTTGAACAAACAGTTATGGGGTTTTAGTTTGCTGCTACTGCAGAAATTAAGCCAATAAGTTTTAAAAACCATTGATACTACCAGTCAAAATCCACCCAAAAATAAAAATCAAACCCTTTCAAAGTTAGCTATAACTGAGTTGTGTTTCCGTAGATCATTTCTTCACCCCTTTGCTAGCTGCCCACCCAGCAACAGGATCAAGCAAAACATAAAATAAAATATAGGATGAAATCCTAGCTCTACTGGAGTCAATGGGAGTTTCCCATTAACTTCAATGGGGACAGAATTCCATCCATCATACTGTATATAATAATAATAATAATATATGGAGATATCCTATCTCCTAGAACTGGAAGGGACCCCGAAAGGTCATCGAGTCCAGCCCCCTGCCTTCACTAGCAGGACTAAGTACTGATTTTGCCCCAGATCCCCCCCTAAAGAATTGAACTCACAACCCTGGGTTTAGCAGGCCAATGCTCAAACCACTGAGCTATCCCTCCCCCCCATATTATGCACATAAAAGGTGTCAAGGTTTGAAGAATATATTAAGTTACTTACAGTGTAAGTCTATTGTAGGACAGGAAAAGCAAGTCATAAACCAAGCACACACCAAACACAGTGACTCCAGTTTCCTTCACCAGCATTGCACAGGTCCCAAGAAATAAACTAAGCAGCAAGAAGAATGGAGAGGCAGTGGGAGGGAAATGTTCCCCAACATAAAAGTGATCCACACTCCTGCAAAATAGATTTGATGTAGAGATTTTAATTTAAGTTATTTTCATATTTATTAATTAGTTCATTAAACATTTTCCAAGAGCATGTCCATCATTCTTAAATCATTAAAATATTCTCAATAACCATGGACCCAGTGCTGCGAACACATACTTGGGTGAGCACTCCCATTAATTTCAGTGAAACGACTGTGAGTAAGGATCTGCAGCAACTGGCTACTACACAATAGCAGATTTAAAGGTAGCCATCATGCAGCAAAACAACTTCAGGAGCAGACTTCAAAGAGAAATTGCTGAGCTTCAGTTCATTTGCAAATTTGACACCATCAGCTCAGGATTAAACAAAGACTATGAATGGCTAGCCAACTACAAAAGCAGTTTCTCCTCCCTTGGTGTTCACACCTCAACTGCTAGAAGAGGGCCTCATCCTCCCTGACTGAACTAACCTCGTTATCTCTAGACTGATTCTTGCCTGCATACACCTCTACCTTGATATAACGCGACCCGATATAACACAAATTCGGATATAACGCAGTAAAGCAGCGCTCCGGGGGGGCAGGGCTGCACACTCCGGTGAATCAAAGCAAGTTCGATATAACGCAGTTTCACCTATAACGCGGTAAGATTTTTTGGCTCCCGAGGACTGCGTTATATCGAGGTAGAGGTGTATTTATACCTGCCTCTGGAAATTTCCACTATATTAATCTGACGAAGTGGGTATTCACCCACGAAAGCTTATGCTCCAATACATCTGTTAGTCTATAAGGTGCCACAGGACTCTTTGTCGCTTTTTACAGATCCAGACTAACACGACTACCCCTCTGATACATATATTTATTAATATCCCTGCAAGTTGTGTGCATGACTGAAAGAAGGGTCCAAAAGCACTTTTACACAGAGTGAGTGACTTAAAAAACAGCATGGGTTGAGAGGACTTGCTTTGTCAATTTTTAATAAAATACAATAGTTAGGATTTTATATGGATTCCTCCCCCCAAAAAAACTCATGTCTCACAACATCTCATAACATTTAATATTAAAGATCCATACCTATTATAGGAGAGAAAAGCCAACAGAAACAGTAGACAGGCTAAGACATCCGCTCTGCCTACAATACCTGTTACCTAAGAGGAGAAAAAAAAGAAAGACATGAAAATGACACTTTAAAAAAAACCTTTAGAGACTGTTTCAATGACCCATACCAATTGCCTTTGCTTTATGGGTTTTTCCCCTCCTTTCTTTCTGTCTCTCTCTTCTTCCCCACATCCTGGCACCCTAATCAGTAAGAATTTGGGTGTTTTTCTAATATAGATATAGAGTAATTAAGCTATTTTGTGTAATAATAACAATATACAGACTGACTAAAACCAAAGTTAAATTATTTTAAAAAGCATTTATAGAAACAGCTCAGAAAATAAAAACATAACTGTGGTTGGGATTTTTATGAAATAATGAAAATGGGGATCAAAAAGAGAAATGTATGCCTGATTCACTAAACTGTGAAGTTTAATCATAGTCTTTAATACTGTGAGAACTGATTTTCGATAAGAATCCTCCCCAAAGACTAAAAGTCACTCCTACATAATAAGAAAGCTTATTACTCAAATGTTAGTTAATAATCAGTTCAGACAGACAATAAATTGCAACTGCTAACTTAGTACATATGAGAGTTTTTCAAACTCTAATTGGCAAGTTTCTTTATAATTATTCAAATTACAAAATATTTCAGCATTCCACTTAATAAAGATTCAGAAACTGCACATAAAGGAAATTAAAGGCCCTTTGAAGCTTTTGCTGTTTTAAGATAACTTAATTATGTAATCTCCAATGCTTTGGCATTTGCTTTAAACTCCCCAAATTCTGATCCAGACAAGAGTAAATTCAAAGCCAGCCTCCTCTAAAACCTCACTTATATTATAAAGCAGCATTATCTAAAGGAGCCTGGCTGATTAGCTTACAGAGACAACACAAGAGGTAACTGTAATGCTCATGGCTCTTTTGTTATTAAGGCACTCTCGCCTCAAAAGTTCTCAGCACTGGCAGTCATTTCACTCTCACTAGTTTACAATAGGTCATAACAACAAAATACGATGCTAACAATATCTTAACTAGACATACACTTGTTGTCTACCTGGAAACAGAAGAAACTGCATCCCCATTTGAAAGAAAACACACAACCATTTTATCTACATGGGAATTAAAATAGCCGTCATTTTAAAACAAGGTATCTATATATTTTGATATCTTGCATTTTCCTGTGATTAGTAGAAAAGCAACATAAGCATTTTTCTATTATCTTGTCCAGAATGCACACCAAGTTACATTATGAATTACAGGGGCCCTTTTCTGTTTAGAAATTAAAGACTCTGTAAAAAAGATTTAAGAAACAGAACAATGTCTCAGCAGGACAGATGCCTCACAAAGTTTTCTGGTTTTGAGAGACGGTGGGGATCCACATTTTCTTCAACCGAAACATTGTGTAATTATTTTTAGCATTGCTGGTTAGGATGGCTAATTGGAATTGCAGCTAATATGAAGTGGAAAGACAGCAAGTATGAAGTTTATTCTTAATGTATGTTATTATTTTGAATGCAAAAGGTTTGAGGTTCTTTTGTTTGTTTTTCGTTTTTGTTTTTTTACTGTTGACTCTTCAAAGCAAGCACCACATTGAGTCACAGCAAATGGTATGTTTTGTATTAAAGGTTTGTTTTTTTAAAAGTTATAAACATGTATTTCTTTTAGGTACTATCTCAGTTTTACATATGTACTTACAGCCTCACTGTGAATAGGATGCACAGCAAAGAAGAGAGCCGTGACAAAAGCCAGTCGACCATCCTTGAATACAGCTTTGTCACAAGTATACATCAGGACAAGAGTCACTAGACAGTGTAAAATTACATTCACTGCATGGAAATAGAATGGGTTCATACCAGCCAACAATATGTTTAGCCTGTAAGAAAACAAAACAGAACCATAATAAATATAATTGGGCCATGGAATCCTTGCAATGGCAGAACATCATTCACACACATTAAAACCAGACAAAATACGTAATTTAGAGTATAGGCTGTTAAATTAATTAGGGTAAAATTGCTCAGACCATCTGGTTAATCTTGATAAAAAGAAACCACTCCCTGCTGCAGCCTCCTCCCACCACTGCCTTTTGAAATGTGTGGTTGAATTTGGCAAGTTTCACTGCAAATGAAGTAAGAGGCTAACAACACAGACTTGAGCTAAGCATCTCATAGATCGGTGCTTTACATGCTTACCCCAGGGTAAATCGTGCACTTCAACATGAAACCTGTGACATTTGTGCCCCTTCAACACTGACACTTTCCACAGAAGTCTACGCTATGTGGTAGTTTTATGATATGGATCCATTAAGATTGATTTTTTGGAGGAAAAAAAAAACGGTTACTCACCTTTCTGTAACTGTTGTTCTTCGAGATGTGTTGCTCATATCAATTCCAGTTAGGTGTATGCGTGTGCCACGTGCACGGATGTTGGAAACTTTTTCCCTAGCAGCTACCTGTCAGGCCGGCTGGGGAGCCCCCTTGAGTGGCGCCGATATGGCACTCTATATAAGACCCTGCCGGCCCGACCCCCATTCAGTTCCTTCTTGCTGGCTACTCCGACAGAGGGGAAGGTGCGGGGGAAATGGAATAGATATGAGTAACACATTTCGAAGAACAACAGTTACAGAAAGGTGAGTAACCGTTTTTTCTTCTTCGAGTGCTTGCTCATATCAATTCCAGTTAGGTGACTCCCAAGCCTTACCTCGGACTGAAGAATCGCTCTGCCAAAGGCCGCATCATCACGAGAGTGCTGGACGATGGCGCAGTGGGACATGAAGGTGTGCACTGAGGCCCACGTGGCAGCCCTGCAGATTTCCTGGAGGGGAACGTTTGCCAGAAAGGCCGCTGACGATGCCTGAGCTCTCGTGGAGTGAGCCATGACAACAGGTGGAGGGACATTTGCCAACTTGTACCAGGTACGGATACACGTGGTGATCCATGAAGATATCCGTTGGGAGGAGACCGGTGCGCCTTTCATCCACTCCGCGATGGCAATGAACAACTGGGTTGTCTTACGGAATGGCTTTGTTCGGTCTATATAGAAGGCAAGCACCCTCCTAATATCCAGCAAATGGAGGCGCTGTTCCCGAAGGTCGAGGTGTGGTTTTGGGTAAAAAACCAGTAGAAAAATGTCCTGACTTACATGGAAGCGGGACACCACTTTTGGCAGGAAAGCTGGGTGAGGTCTCAGCTGAACTTTATCTTTATGGAATATGGTATAAGGCGGTTCACACGTGAGAGCCCATAGCTCGGACACCCGACGCACCAAAGTAATGGCCACTAGGAAAGCGACCTTCCAGGAAAGATAGAGGAGTGAGCAGGAAGCCAGCGGCTCGAAAGGAGGGCCCATAAGGCAGGAAAGAACCAAGTTAAGGTCCCATGTAGGCACAGGCTGCTTCACCGGAGGATGGATTTTTTCCAAGCCTTTGAGGAAACGCCGCACGACCGAGTGTGCAAACACCGAGTGCCCGGCCGCTCCTGTGTGGAACGCAGAAATGGTTGTGAGGTGAACTTTAAGGGATCCAAAAGCTAGGTGCTGGTCCTTAAAAACATCAGGTAGTCTAGGATGCTCAGGATTGAAGCCTGGAGTGGGAGCACCTGCTGCTGAGTGCACCAGCTGGAAAACCTTTTCCATTTAGCTTCATAAGTAAGTCTAGTCGAAGGCTTGCGACTTTCCAGAAGCACCCGCCTTACCGAGTCCGAACAGGCACGCTCAGCCTGGTTCAACCACGGATCCTCCAGACCGTGAAGTGGAGCGACTGAAGGTCCGGGTGTAGGAGACGACCGTGGTTCTGCAAGATAAGGTCGGGGCTGAGAGGTAGACGTAGGGGAGCCTGAATTGACAGGTCCAGCAGGATAGGGTACCAACACAGACATCCGCCTTGTCCCAGCGGACCTTGAGGAGCACCTTGTGGACCAGCGGAAATGGCAGGAAGGCGAAAAGTAGTTGGTCCGACGACGTGATCAGGAAGGCAACTGCGATCGAGCCCGGGTCGTGACCCCCGAAGGAGCAGAAGGCTGGGTACTGCCTGTTGGTCCATGAAGCAGGGAAACCCCCAGATGCGGAAAACAGAGTGAATGATGTCCGGGCGAAGCGACCATTCGTGCGGGAGAAAACACCTGCTCAAGTTGTCTTCCAGTACGTTCTGGACACCTGGCAGGTATGAGGCTTGAAGGGTGATGGAGTGGGCTAAACAGAATTCCCACAGAAGAAGGGCTTCTTGGCAGAGCGACGATGACCGGGCTCCACCTTGTTTGTTCAGATAGAACATGGCCATGGTGTTGTCTGTTAGGACTGCTACACAATGGTCTTGTAAGCGGGGAAGGAACGCTTGGCACGCAAGGCGAATCGCCCTGAGCTCCTTGATATTGATGTGCAAGGACAGCTCATTTTCGTGCCATAGGCCCTGCGTTGTCAGGCTCCTGAGGTGGGCCCCCCATCCCAGCGCAGATGCGTCTGTAACCAGGGTCAGGGTGGGTTGAGGGGGATGGAACAGGACCCTGGCACCCACCATACGGGGATCCAGCCACCAACGCAGGGAGTCGAGTGTGCGGCTTGGGACTGTGAGCACCATATCTAGATTGTCGCAGCCTGGTCGATATACCGACGCTAGCCACGTCTGGAGAGGCCTGATCTTAGTCTGGCATGTTGCACCACGTAGGTGCAGGATGCCATGTGGCCCAGCAACCTGAGACACTGCCTCGCTGTGGTGGTGGGAAACCTGCAGAGGTTGGTGATTATGTTTGCTAGAGCCAGGCGCCGGGCCTCCGGGAGGAAAGCCCGCGCTTGGTTTGCGTCCAGGACTGCCCCAATGAACTTTATTGTCTGGGTAGGGAAGAGGACAGATTCGCTGACGTTCAGCATGATGCCCAAGCGACTGAACGTGTCCATGACCAGCTGCACTTGAGACCGAACTTGTTGGTGAGATTGGCCCTGTATAAGCCAGTCGTCGAGGCACGGGAAGACGTGCATGTGATGTCAGCGAAGAAAAGCTGCCACGACCGCCATGCACTTGGTGAAGATGCGAGGGTCTGTGCACAAGCCGAATGGGAGGGCTGTGACCTGATAGTGCGTCTTGTTCACCACGAAACGGAGAAAACATCTGTGGGGTGGGGTAATTGAAATGTGAAAGTAAGCTTCTTTCATATCGAGGGCGGCATACCAGTCTCCCGGGTCCAGTGAGGGGATAATTGTGGCCAAGGAGACCACGCGGAACTTCAGGTTGACGATGTACTTGTTGAGCTCCCTGAGGTCCAAGATGGGCCTTAGGCCTCCTTTTGCCTTGGGGACGAGGAAGTAGCGGGAGTAGAACCCCTTGCCCCTGAGCTCTCGAGGCACTTCCTCCACTGCCCCTAGGGCAAGGAGGGTTTGTACCTCCTGGATAAGGAGTTGCTCGTGAGAAGGGTCCCTGAAGAGGGACGGGGAAGGGGGATGGGAGGGCGAGGCGGAATGGAAATGGATAGAATATCCCGCCTCTACCATGCGGAGGACCCAATGGTCCAATGTAATAAGGGACCAGGCATGGTAGAAACGGGATAGACAGTTCAGAAAAGGATAACTGTCCGGGATGTGAGCTATTAGTCCGTCCTCGAGCGTACCTTCAAAATGGATGCTTAGGGCCCGGAGGTGGCTTGGATTGCCCTTGACCCTGCCGGGGGGGACGACGGGGACATAATGGTCTACATCGAGGGTACCTGCTTCTCCAACAGGAGAAGTCCTGCCTGAGTCTAAGTGGGAAGGGGCATTGTTGGGTGGTCTGGTTGTTGGGGTTTAAACAGCTTCCTTTGAGTAGCTAGGGTATGCATGCCCAAAGGATTTAATAGTATTTCTTGTGTCCTTCAGGGTATGCAGGCGGGAATTGGTTTGCTCTGCAAACAGGCCCTGGCCATCAAAGGGGAAATCTTGTATGGTGTGTTGCACCTCAGACGGAAGACCCGATGACTGGAGCCAGGCGTTTCGACGCTTGGCGATGCCAGAGTGCATGCAGCCGCGTCCATGGTATCGGGGGAACCCTGAAGGGAGGTTCGAGCTACCAACTTGCCCTCCTCAACAATGGCCCCCAGTTCTGTACGAGCCTCCGCTGGAAGAAAGTCTTGGAACTTAAGGACCGCAGACCACAAGTTGAAATTGTATCTACTGAGGATCACCAGCTGGTTCGCGATCCATAGCGAAAGGCCACCGGTAGAATAAACTTTTCTTCCGAAAAGGTCCAGCCGCTTGGCGTCCTTTGATTTTGGGGCGGGCCCTTGTTGGCCCTGAATTTCTTTTGCGTTCACCGCGTCTACCACAAGCAAACATGGGGCGGGGTGGGTAAAAAGGTATTTGTATCCCCTGGTGGGGACAAAGTACTTTCTTTCCACCCCTTTGGCTGTGGGGGGGGATGGAGGCTGGAGTTTGCCAGAGAGCTTTGGCATTGGTTTGGATGGTTTTGTTCATGGGGAGGGCCACCCTGGAAGGTCCTTCTGGGCCTAAGATGTCCACCATAGGATCGTCCTCCTCCACAACCTCCTCAACTTGGAGGTTCATATTTAGGGCTACGTGCCTAAGTAGTTCTTGCAGGACTCTAAAGTCCATGGGGGGTGGGCCAGACGTGGACGTGCCAGCCACGGCCTCGTCAGGGGAAGACGAGGACGACGCCACCGGGGGAGTCAGATCGGAAGTGGCCCTTGGTCTGCTGTGGCCAGATCTTCCTGGGCTTCCTTCTACCACAGAGGCTGACTCCACGGGTTGCTCCAAGTCTGGAGGAGGGTGGCTGAGGGTCACCTGAGGAGGCTGGGCGCCTGATCGTGTTGACAGGCGGGCAACGGAAGGGGCACCTTGGGCTTGATGATATGCCCAGGGGGTCCAAAATTGCCACTGGGGTTGCCAGTGGGA